TCATCTTACTTCAGGTATTGTGTTAGTCCGATCCTTTCAGCCTGTTTACGAGGCTCAATTTTTCTCAAATGCACGGTCCACGGAAAGAGCATGTTTGCTTTGCTTGTTCCTTCCATCGTCTAAATGGAACACTACAAAGGCCGCTGTGAGAAAGGAATCTAGCAAATCCCATTAAGCTTTAAGCAAACATGATTAATCCACCTGGCTACGTTTATGATTCTGAACCCCATTTTTCCAGGAACCCGTCCTCTGGATCGTGAAATTAAACCTCCAAAGCATGCCTTTATAAGACAGCTCGTGCCCCTTTATTGCCAAACTTTTGATGGCATGCTGATAAAAATTCCTTTCTTGCCTTTGTACATTGAAATTGTTGCGAGTACTTGCCTGCTCGCCGACTCAACTTCAGCTGGGCAACTGGCTGAGTGCTGGGGACGCGTTGGATGGTGGCTTCCACAGGGAGTGTGTCTGTGGAGGGAGACTGCTCAGTGCGGGTAGGGGCGGCTACCAATGTGGTGCCGGCGGGCGGCTCGCTGTTTGCGGAGCTCCTGTGGCATGCACGCTGACGTGGCGGGCACACTCACGTGGCGTACACGCTGACGTGACGGGCACACTCACGTGGCGTACACGCTGACGTGGCGGGCACACTCACGTGGCGTACACGCTGACGTGGCGGGCACACTCACATGGCGTACACGCTGACGTGGCGGGCACACCCACGTGGCGTACACGCTGACGTGGCGGGCACACTCACGTGGCGTACACGCTCACTTGGTGGGCCCACTCACATGGCGTACACGCTTATGCGACGTCCACGGTCACGTGGCGGGCACACCCACCTGGCGAACACACTCACGTGGCGGGCACACTCACGTGGTGGGCACACCCACCTGGCGAACACACCCACGTGGCGAGCACACTCACGTGGCGGGCACACTCACGTGGCGGGCACACCCACCTGGCGAACACACTCACGTGGCGGGCACACTTCACGTGGTGGGTACAACCACCTGGCGAGCACACTCACGTGACGTCCACGGTCACATGGCGTGTACACGCACCTGGCGGGCACACTCACCTGGCGGGCACACTCACCTGGCGGGCACACTCACCTGGCGGGTATCTCTCACAACATGAATGGGATCTACCGCAACAAGAAAATTCCCATCCCATGAAATTGACTCTGCATGGCTGACTAACATCTCAATACGCACGCTTGAAGGAAGTGCTGCTGGTAGGTCCCGATGCCGGACATACCTGGCTGACGCACCACTGCACACTGGGAGCGACGCCTCTGTGGTTTACCACCTCCTCACTGTTCCCGATTTGACGCAGGATTATGTTTACGAACTTTGGCAAACCACACCGTCAGGTAGAAGTGGTGTGTTTTTCCCATTTGCCTTGGTCTTTGTGATCATCCCAGATGCGTATGTTTTTCAGTTCTTTCTGAACATCACAGCACACGCATTGACGGTGTCGCGTTGGTTAAGCTTTAGAAGGCGTGTATTGTTGCACTTCCACAAGTATACCATATAACTAATATGAAACACATTAGAATGTGGCATATGAAATTATATACATACCATATCTTATACATATTTAAATATATGTGGCAAAACTTGTATATTAATATATGTATATATAATATATATATATATATATATATATATATATATATATATATATATATATGCATGAGTATCCAATACTTCGAGTTAAAATGTTGTCATTAATACTTTACACATGCATGTAATATAGCTCTTAGCTAAGATAACTAATGATATATTGTGTTCCTCTTGGTAAGATTATCCCTCATCCCTCTCACTCTCTCCTGCATTTAATCCAGACAAAAATGAATACACGTACCTCATACACAGGCCAGGTTGTGTTGGGTTTGCGTTGAAAGGTCTAATCCTACCCGTCTTCTGTTAATTCAAATCTGGCTCTAGTCATCGCTGTCAGTCGTGATCAATCAGCTGAGTTAAGGTCGGTTTGAGACAGTGTCAAGGTAGCTCCTGCTACGGCGGTCGTGCAATGACATGCACGCTTTCACTTACGATTTGCCTTTATTGTTTTATCTGCTTGCATTGGTGTGTCCACCGGAAAGGCCGGAGAGGGACCATTTTCACTTTTCCATTCCAATTTTCACATGATAGTCGCCCTTCCCGAATTTCACCCATGTAATGAAGTATTCACGTTTATCCATTCAAAATGCCCGCTCACGGCTGCATGTGCGTTTTCATGTGCAACCACACCCACGGTTGCACGTGCTTACTGTGTGAGCACACGATGATGTGGAAGCTGTACCTTGCCGCTGACTTTCTTTCACATTCCATAACGCATTGGCCAGGGCATGCACATGCATTTTTGTACCGAATTCTCGCAAACGCTTAAACGTGCCCACTTCCAAATAGTTCCGTGGCATCGCTCGAGGTAAAGCAAGAGAATGCGCGACCTACTCTATGTCATACTGCACGGTCCACTACGCTCCATGCTGTGGTCTGCTCTGAGCTTCACGTTGTGCTCCAAACTATGGTTCACGATGTGCTGTACAATACAAACTTCGGCGCTGGGACTGCAAGGACGGGAAAATGAAGTGGAGTTTCATAACGGGCGGAAACAAGCGCCTTTCGGAAACCATTGAGGGTGGTGCTGTCAATGCACTGGAATGTTCATCTCTCATGATTTTTTGCGGGCAGAAAGCCTCCGTGATGTGCCGTTCCCGCGTCAGTCCTGCGCACATAATGCTCGGAAGTTGGTTGGCTATGGCGCTGAGCACCATTTGCAATTCTGTCGACAAAATCGTTGAGTGGGAGATTATTGACATGTCCAGTGACCGTCATCAACGTATTCGGAAAAGGCAAATATTTTGAGCGAAATTTAGGCATTGGATGAACATACATTCATTGAGTCGGGCGTCTATCGTCTATGTAGCTTTCAGAACATTATCACCGTTCCTATATCGCACTGCGCTGTATTCGTTACCCTTTAAAAAGTTATATTTTCCGCCTTCCGGCCGATTGTTGGCGATGCGCAATCGAGTGAAGATGCTGGCGCACTGGCGACGAGTGGCGCTCACCGCGCGCCTGATTCCACATACTTAATCCGCTTCGATTGGCGAGTTCTAGCATCAGTTCTTTAACAACCCAAAGTGAAGGAATGTATGGTTGTGCTGGAGCTCATGAGGTCATTTGTACCAGCAACCATCAGTTTTGCTTGTGTTCTTGCCGTTCTCCCCCCCCCCCCCCCATCGCATGGTCTGTCGTTCTCTTGTCGGTGCTATGCGTTTTGCCGAACCCGTACCGCCTCTCACACATGCTATGCATCTTTTTTCAGCGTGCAATGTTTGGCCTTTTCATGCTAATCGAAAAGGGGGTTAAAATTGAGTCATTTTGCAATGTTGGAGGAAAACGGCGTCTGCCCAAACAGCTGCATGCGAATGCTTTGAAAGTGAAACAACATAACTTTTAAACAGCTGGCCTGCGTGTTTCGGCAAACCGAATGAAGCTGCATTCATGGGCTGCACGTATTAAAGCCCATGAGATGCGTAGCGACCGGGCGGACCAGGTTGCACCGGGTGATCAAATCATGAAGTTATGTGGAGGCGAGGTTTTACCTACATACAGCCTTGTTTGCAATCACGCATATTAACGTGCATTTTACTTCATGATGCAATTTGTAAGTTTTTTATGAATGAGAGGTGTCGGTGAGGTATCTTCATTTCTGGTGCACATGCTCATCCGGCACAATTTTAAATGTGTTGTCTAGCAACTTTTTTCAACGAAACTTGGCCAGCGTCAGTGTAAAAGTAAGACAAGAAGGTATGTAGGCGGTTATAGCATCGTGATATGTAAGTGCAGTCCAATGCTCATGCTGCCTGCAAGCTTCTTGGCAACTTAAGCAGAGTGCCAAGCATGCATGTCAGGTGAAGGTGTCATGGTTGCTGTTACGCGAAATGACGGGCTACTTTTTAGTCGGCTCCCCAACTGGAAATTGCTATCAGCGCTGGATGGTGCGTAATGTCATGCGAGCGGCCTGGTGGTGCACGCTTAGCTCCTCTCGGTCATTCGGCTCTATTCGGTCGGTTCTCTTGGCTACGCATATAAGCTCCACCAGGGTATGGGGTTCAATGGGGCCAAGTTCGAAACTTTTCTGAATTTAGCATCACGCCTGCAGGCCTTGTGTGGAAAGAGATACCTTCAAAAACTTGAAGGTTTACATACTCAACATTGCGGAACATCTTGGTTCCGTATGCTAGGAAACATCCCTTGATAATACGATCCCGCGTTGCTGTGGGAGGACAGCTTCCATTACCGGCTAACATTTTGTTCGTATGCACGGTACAAGTGGCTGAGAAAACAAAGGATGACGAGTTCCCGCAGGCACAACGATTAAAGTATCCACGAGCAAGTGAAAGCACATCAGGCAAGCATTTCTCATGTCTGTACGCCTAAGTGACTTAGGATGTATTACGCACGGTTTGCCTCGTCATTCAGCTCTGCTGGCCCGCACAAATCGGCCATTGCGACAAGTCCCTGTCGCCATCCCCCACCACCCTCGTAAACAGGTAGGTGCCTACTTGTTGCACCACCTCATAGGAAGCCATAAAGCGCTGTCCGTCCAGCAGCGCCATCTCTCGCAATCATCGCCAAACTCAGCGGTGACGTCACAGGCGCAGCCATGTTGCATTTGAGCGGCGTCGCCCGTCTCTGTACTTGTTGAGCCGCTCGATACCCGGACCGAGAGCACTACGGTGCGCACAGCCGTGCTCTAAGCCGCCGACAGCCGTCAAACCCGCATCGACAAGCTGGGCTCTGTTTTCCGCGGCGAACCCGGCGCTCGCGGAGTCCGCCGCGCCGACCCCTCCCCCGTGTAAGATTAGTCCCCCAGATTGATGAATCCGGGGATGTTGCCATGGTGACGGGTCACGTGACGTCGGCGAGGCCGGCGTCGGTGCGGAGGCTGGCGGCAGGCCAGACGGGTCGGCGCCGGGCACTTGTTGTACGCGGGCTCCGTCGCCGGGTGACGCTGCTGCCGCCGCTCCGCCGCCGCCAGCCCGGGCTCCGCAACATGGCCCTCATCGGCGAGGTGAGGCCGGCCCGGTCCGCCCCCGACTCGGCTGGCGGCTGCCCGCTCAGCCGCGCCGCCCCGTGCCGGAAGTGGCGCACGCACTCTTTCCGACTATGCCTTTTTCTCCTCGTCTGTTTGGGCACACTTGCAGTTTGTGCGGGACAGCTTCCAGTAGACGTCTGTCGTTCAGTATCTCCTATCCAGCTGCTGTGCCTTCTTCCAGGATGTTTCCTGTCACTGCTCTTGGGACGGGAGACGTGGTGCGATAGACTGGTGTGAGGCTGGTTTCAAGCCATGCCTTCCATTTAGTCGGCAATACATGCCACACCTACACCCTCGCTGATGGTCCCTGTCGTGCACCGCGAGTTTGTCTGCCCCCCCCCCCCCACGAGTTTGTCTGCCCCCCCCCCCCCCCACGGGTTCCGGTCGCCAGCTTCTGGCACTGCCATGCGATCCAGCGGCCGTTGCCGTTGGGATCAACAGGTGCAGCTCTTTGCAGTCACGGGCCCGGAGCGGCCGACCCAGCCGCGAATCAATGCCAGACAGACGGTCTGTCCCCCCCCCCCTCTCGCTCCCCAGGGCTGGCAGATGTAAAAAATCGCTGGATGAAAAGGCTCGGCCTAGGTCCGGGTGCTGAGCAATAGCAAAACGAGGCACTGCATGACCTTTTGCGTTGCGGCGCGGTACGGCAATCTATTTTCATGGTTTAATCTGAACAATAGTGCACTGAATTATGTGATCGACCAATCAAACTACTACTCCGTCTGTCCAAAACATTGTTCAGCTCACTGACTAAATTATGATGGCCTTGATCCAAGTGAAAGGCACAAATTACTGCCTAACCCTCCAAAACATCACGACTAGAACCAAACTACTTCGGTGGCCGGTGCTCAAGCATCGATTCTTCACAACACTGGCGCCAAAACCGTTGAAAACAAATGTCCCAGTGATCAATGTATAGAGCTACCAATGGGAAGTGGCTATCGCCGCCGTTATAACTGTTCAACATGACTTCGTTCGTCCAGCTAGCTAGATGGCCTGCAGGACATCGATACTTAGCTCCAGTGAAAGTTCATTTGTAGCTAATGCGCGTAAGCAAAACTCCTGAATGTTCTGAACATTAGTTAAATACGCATTTTTTACTCCAGGTTGCCTCGTTATTTCGGTCCCAGACGCTGTCATTGCACTTCGAAGTACATTCTCACCACGCGTTCAAAATGTGCGTTGATGTTTGAAGCAAATGTTTTGCGCATGCATCAAGAAATTATTTCATCAGTCGGATAAAATGTCACCGCATACTTCCAGAACGTTATGGTGTATACTGGAAAACAGATAGGCTTGAGGTTCCTCATTCAGAATTCCTTGATTGGCCGCAACTGTTCTCGCATGATGGCATGCTGCGTGCATCTTTGATGCACATCTCTCACTGGCCAACATATAAACCGCACATACCATCAAAGTTCCACGATTGAAAGCCATGCGGGCGTCTTGCTTTTGACGAAATCTGCAAGGAAGGCACAGTTCGAGACTTGCATATTGTTGGGTTAAGCATCGCTTGCAATGTGTTTGCGGCTTTGCTCGATCGAAAATCCGCGCTTGGGTAGCTGATTCATTCTAAATTTGAACGTAATGAACTGTCTCAAATTCGAAGCATGCTGCGTGCGCTTCCGAAACACTTCTTACCGTTCTCCCAGTCACAACACAGAAGCTGTGTATACATTGGCTCAAAATGACCTACTCAGCCCTATCTGTCACGGTCGCATATTAAAGTACAGCCAGTGATTTTGTTTTCACCCGTAGTACGGCCCCGCCATCCAAACCTGCGGGACACTCCCCTGCTGCCCACCATTCACCACAGTGTTCAGAGCCTTGTTTCTGCGCTGTGCCTGTGCCATGCAGTGCCGGCAGTGTTCCACCGATGGCTGACGTCCGCTGTAATTTTCTATTGCAGCTGATCATGTGGTCTGACGTGTAGTAAGTACCGTCCCCGAGTTGTGCTGTGTGTGCCCTGGTCAAGTGTCGGTGTTGTGCCGATGGCGCTTGCCGCTCGCCCCTCGCCGGCTCCAGGCGTCTGTTTCGGTGTTGTCGGTCCGTACGCTTAGACTCTCTGTGGCTGGTGTGTATCTTAGGCCTGTTTAGAGGGCGGCTTCGTGGTCAGCACCCTTGCCGCTCCGCACCTGACGCGGCGGCGGACCTGGGCGCGGCTGGCTCCGGAGGGGCTCCAGCCCGCGCCGGCCAATCCGGACCGGCACCTTCTCGCGCGGCGCGGATTGATCGGGTCCAGCGGCGAAGGATCCAAGCTGGAACGACTCAGCTGGCACGGCTGGAATGCGAGTGATAAGGTGCAATTCTGATGGCGAGTCGTTTGTGGCCGGCACCAGTTGGTATCATCGTTGTCAATCAGCCAGCGAAATCATCCTCTGACACGAAGCCAACGAAACAGGAAGGAAAATTGCCGAATGAATGGTTTAAAATGTCGGTATCATGAGCGCGCTTCAATGTGGCAGTTAAGATGAAGATATCATTTCGGGGTTAGAAATGGTGAATCCGAAAATCGAGTACGCCTCAAGTATCAAACCTTTGACCTGTAACCATATCCATGAAACAAATCTGCAACTGAATTATGATAGTTTTAGACAACGCGCTGTATGACTAGCACTGTCGTTGTTATGCTGCGTAAGCTTATGGGTCGCCTAATGCTTCCAGATGTACTGCCGATCCATTGCTTCAGAATAATAGCTTGAAGGAGGAATGATATTTTTTCTTACTGATAACCATTCATGGTGTTGAATGAGTAATGCGAGTTATAACTTAGCTTCATGAAACTGACGTTATGAGCCAAGCAAGGATACATACACTGACAACCGTCATTAGAATCGTCTAAACCAGAGGACATTATTTGAACAACATTATCCTCTTATTCTAGAACGTAGGTCTTACACGTATGGCCACGGTTGTACGAAATTGAGCGATGTTATTGTGATTAGGAAGGAGAAGAGTGAACGTGCTTCATACTGATGTATGGTGGATTTTCTTACAAATTTTCCGGCATGGCTCTAGGACGAGTAAATAAACTGTCTCTCGCGTGTTTCTGTTTTAAAAAGATGTGACAGTGTTGTTCTATAAGCAAGTAACTCTGCGCGTAACAAAATGTATTTCAGGTTTTACCTTTTACTTTATACCACCTAGGTAAATATGCTGCAGCTTGGATTGTGACTTGTATACCCTGGATACACGTCCATGTGAACAATCATGTACCACGCTATACGCAGAACTTTGTGAGTAGCTGGAAATAGCGTTCATGTTTCCTGATTTAGGTTTTCGGGTGAACAAGAGCACAGCCAAGAGTTATTGCGTCGCACTCGCTTGCTCTGTTCAAGGTAAAATCTACTGGTCTTAAATTGTTGCCTTCAGGTATGTCACTGGAAAAGTTGTGATTGAAAGGAATTAACCAAAGCCCACGCGATCTATAAGGATCCCCAGCAGGGTATTTTGGTCGTGGTCTGGTTGGTGAGCTGCTCTGACCGGCCTCAGCTGATGAGCATGCTAAATCTCATAGCGGCTCCAGGTTGCATATTTCCATGACTGGTAGGGTAGATTTGACATTCTAGCTGCAACGTTTACACCCGCAGTTATGCAAAGTTGGCATTCAGTTGAATCACTGATTAAATCTCTTCCTACAACAACGACTGCTGACCGGCCAGAAATATTGTAAATGATGTGGTGGTTTATGGTTGATAGGGCAGGAATGCCTGGCGCAAAAATTGCTTTAAGTCCACCATTTTTCCTTTTAGATAAATGTGTATAAGGTTGTCGTGTGCTGTCTCGATTCACTTCGTGCTTGTTATTTTTCCAAGAGTTTTCCCTTACTCTCCAATGGTTCTGTTATAGGAGAGGGGCAGACTCAATGGGACAAGAGCACCACGTGATGATACATTAAAACAGTGTGTTAGTCTATAACGCCACAACCGGCAACAACGCGCAACAGCAACGATGCTTCAGGTGGTTGGGATTAGTTCATGCCGGACAAATCGGTGTTTCAGGAGAAGACGGCTGGGGAGCTTTTACATTTTGGTAGGTACCAATTTCTTTAAGTTAGTCCTCGCAATCAAAGTCAACCAGCCAGCGTTCTGATTCCCAGACGGCTATTAGCGTTGGCAATCTCCTATCACATTCCCGTTTTTGTTCCGGGCGTGCTTCACAACCACGTACCTCACTTAAACAGCTGTCGCTAGCGACGTTTTGCACTTCGGTTTTTAGAGCGGATGCAAGGCCATTGAGGAAGATTGTTTTTAGAGCAGGCACAAGGCTGCTGAGGAAAACAAGGTACACTTGAGGGCGCAATCTGCAGAGGGAAGTGTTTACCGCCTGTATCACCGGAACATTAAAAAAGAATAGGCATGCCGAAACAGAACAACCATTAGCCATTACCATCTAGAAGATACAGACTCGGAAACAGTCAGGAGTGGCGAGGAGGTTTTTATGATGATGCGTCATGGATTTGTCTATTCCTCATCAGTTCGATATGAATCTTATTTTGTTCAGAAAATTCGCGGTTATCTCTGTTATTACAAAAGTATATAGAAAGAGGAAAATCTTAATCCTATTTTAAACTTCTAACTAAAATGTAAACTCTATTAAAACCCCGACTTCATTTCAACCACAAGCTGCGCTGCATACCTTTTATCATCGTATCGACATTCTTATTGAACTGCAATGTTGTCTGTACAACATTTATAAATGTTTCACAGCAAGCTGTTAGATTCAACCTCCGGTAGTGAATACCCCAAAACTAACACCCACTAACAAAATGAACAGCATGCAAGTTAGTTGGCGTACCCGCTGAAATTGTTAACACCTATTGGGCACGTATGAAAAACATTTAATTTATCCTGAACGGTTTCGACAACTCCTTTCCTTAATGATAGTTTCCACAGAGATTGTTATGAGCTTTCTCTAACGCTCAGTCCCTGTCGCGCAATGTGTGACCAAGATTAAACCGTTCATCAACGTCAAGCAGCGATATCTGCACGGATCGCCATTAGCATAATCACATTCATTTAGTGCATCACTACTGCATTAACAACTAAACGTCCTCGCCGGTTATTAATCAGCGGCTCTGGGCGCGCGGATGGCCTCGGCCGAGCCCAGCTGGCACTCGGCACGGGGCTCCCAGATGGGGCCGCCCCGCCGGACTGAAGCTATCCGGGAGAGGCTCGGTAAAGCTCCCAACGGCACACGGCATCAACAGGGAACGTCTGCGGCATAATGTGCGGTCCCTCGACAAAGGCATTCCGTGCCTGAGTGATAGAAGAAAACAAGCGTTACGCAGAGATGGGGAGCACTCTGACTAGCGCAGTCTGCGTCGTGGCTGAGCGCTTGCCTCTGAAGCTCGTCTCGGTCCCCGGCCAGCGCCTGCGAGCCGCGGACGTCACGGACGATCACTAAATGCAGACTGTGCCGCAGTACTTCGCTGTACCCCGGGTTAGTTGCCTCCGACGGAAGCGCTCTCGGTCTCGGCCGCGACGCTTGCTTGCCCGCCAGGTGCAGTTGGGCCGCGTGCTTAAGTCCCATGGGCGTTGCCTGTAGCGTCATAGCTAGGTACTTACGTCGCACGCAGAAGCAAACATATAGCAAGTCCAACGATTGGTAACAAGTTCGGGCAATCCATGGCGACAAATTTATCATCATCACCATCATCATCATCTTGGTTGGTAAATAAGACGTGCAACAGAAAGCGAACGTAAATCAGAATGAGCAATTAAGTGTGGCAAGGGCGCAGATGGACAAGATTATTCTAAAATTTTAGTGCCAAGTGTTTTTACGGCCATGTTTCGGGTCATGTCATCCACATAGTACACGACCGCGGAATGTCCATTTGCCCGCCGTGCACGACCGCCAGCACGCTTTAGCCGTCATTAGGCGCTGACATATGAACAACCTGGTTTGGCCGTCATTAGACCTTGGTTGTAAAGCAACCCGCTTTAGCCGTCATGAGACGTCGGTATGTGAACAGCACGCTTTGTCATTAGGCGTTGGAATGTAAACAACCCGCTTTGACCGCCTTGAGGCGTCGGTATGTGAACAGCCCGCTTTGGCCGTCATTAGGCGTCGATATATAGACAACCCGCTTTGGCCGTCATGAGGCGTTGGTATGTAAACAACCCGTTCTGGTCATCACTAGGCGCTGGCATGAAATCATCGGGCAGTGACTTCGGTTAACGTTTGGGGCTCAGACACCATTTATCTTTGGTTTTGGAAAGTTTGAGTGCTGAATGACGAGAAAGACTCTTTTAAACGTTTGAGGTCTATGTGGGAGCCTTGGGTCTTGGGGTCTGGGGTCTGAGTTTTTGGGTCTCTTGTGTAAAGCTATGGGCGTCCTTACAGACTTACGTGCTCTCACATAAGGCTGCGTAATTCTTTACGATGGTGCATAGGAAAAATGTTTTGTAATTTAATTTGCTGTACACAAAATTCGTTACCTGTTATACCTGCGTATGAGTAATAATAATGTTGCTACTACGCGACCAATCTGATTATTAACACATCTTTAATCTTGGTACCAGCTCTGCTACTGGGCGTGGAGAAAAGCGTCGACCCGTCGAGTATAGTGGACAGGGGGGCAGGGCCGCAAAATAAGTGGGGGAGAAACTGAGCAGGGGAAAATGGCTAAGACTATCCTCAAAATAAACAACAAATGGTATTCGCCTCGGATATGGCACGCTCTCATTTCAAAGCTGCGGGGGGTGGGGCTGAAATATCCTCCACCCTCCAACTGGATAGACATCCACTCCCCTGCTGGTGGAAGTGGGGGAGGGAGTGGGCCGAAACATCCTCCACCCTTCAACTGGATAGACATCCACTCCCCTGCTGGTGGAAGTGGGGGAGTGGGGGGGGGGGGGGGCGAGCTGGAACTGCTCTGCGGGCAATGCTAAGTGTGAAGTACATAATGCAAACAGACGACATGTCAACTA